CTTTAATCTGTATTCTGGCCAAGTCGAGGTGCCACCAACGGGGGCGCTGGCCAAGCTGAAGCGAAGGCTGTTCTCCCCAGATTTCCGGAATATCCTGGAACTAGGCAAGGCTGTAGAGGGTGTTCAGCACGACCAAATTCTTATTTCACTCTTTCAGGTGCTGGAACGGGTATTGTCGCCGTTACGTTGAGCATCTTGCGCTCAGATCTCAATCTTCCTGAATCGTCCGGGCATATAATCGCGACTGATCTTCGTAAGTGGTCTTTCACGACAATCGGCGCCCGCTCAATGGAACCAGTCTCTGCGATGCCACTTCTGGAGCACAACATCGCTTTTAACGGTTTCCACTGTTCACTGGGCGTCATTCCCGAGGCTGCCGTGCTAGACTGGGAGAACGAGGAGCTCCCCTCCGTCATCTCATCTTTTGGTAATGGCCTAGATGTTATCGTGTACGCATTTTGTTGCACGAAGCTGCGTTCTACACTAACCGGCGGCATCAACTCCCCTAAAGGATGGCTGATGTGACATACAACACTTCGTCCTTCCCCGCGCTCATCAGCACCTTATCGCGCCTGATCCACTACTCGATATCTAAAACTTCCAATCCAAACCCACCACTTATTCTCCTTGGATACAAGGAGCGTGATCCTGCCGAGAAGACATTGTGGGATATGGCAGCGAAGATTCCGATCAAGCTTGATAAGGTAGGCGAAAGCCCTGGAGCTGGCGGTATGCCGGTTGAGATTTGGCTGGGCCAAGTGACGGGCCCTTGAGCGTTGGGAACTACAAAACACTCTACTGTACATATTAGTACTATCCAGATTCGAGTCCAACAATGCATGGATGGCAGAAGTATATGCTAAGACGTGATGGGGAACGCTACAGTGGCGGGAGCGGCCGGCGACATTGCGGACAGATGTTCTGCGGGGGTATTGTTGGTCAACTGTCGCCGAACATGTTTGCGGTAGCCCACCTTGATAGCCAGCCACTACGAGAGGTAACAATAAGTCAGCGGATGGCTCAGAGAGATAAAATCCACAGCATACCTTCTCTAGACACTCAGTATGCTTACGAAAAGAAAATACCTGTCACCAAAAACCGACAACACAGCCAGACATAAGGGCCACTCACAAACAGGTGGTGACAGGGCGCGAGGCTATAATTCCTCCGCGCGCTGACCTTGTGCAGTAACCCTCCAGTAACAGGCTGACGTAACTTCTGATCGTCGGCGTATATGCTCTCCATGCATATGGCACAGTCGCCAAGCGAATGATCCGGCGCCTCGGGGTCCGACGTAGACAACGGGAGTGGAGGGTGGTAGTCGTGTATTGGCGCTGTAGTAAACTAACACACATGAGGGGCAGTAAGTCGAAGGAGTGAAGTATGCCACAATCACGGCACCCACACTATCAGGGAGGAAGAAAGTTGGCCCCAGATGCTGTTGAAGAAACACGACAAGTACTTGAAGCATAACAAAGAAAGTTAGGTAGTAAACCCATCCTATGAGGTGATGCACAAGATCAGGAGAGTGCAAATCAAAGGCCATCACAACTCACGTCGCTGCTCCACATCAAGGACATTCTTTGGGCAACTCAGAAAGTCTAAAGACAGACCACATCAGTACAACTCATTCTGTTCTGTGAATAGACAACACTCACACAGTGCAAAATAGAGCCTGCAAATGGATGTCCCCACCAGGTATTCTACACTCAGTGCGCTACTCCTCCTCCGCCTGGCAGAGCGGACGATCTGTGGCAACCAAAAGAGTGAATACATACTGGCGACAAAAAGTAGCGCTAGTGAGGGAGAAACGATGACGCGGACAATGAAAGTGAGGAAGAAAAACATTCCCATCCCTGAGCATCAAATGTAAGCCGATGCAAATAGAGTAACGTAGTTCATTATGATCGACGTACATATGCGGGCTTGTGGGTCTGATTGAAGATGCTGAAGCAAGAGACTGAAAAAGGATGGATTGGTGGGACGAGTAGGGGGAGGGGAGGGCTGCACTGGAGCAGCTTGGGGGATAGTGGCTGCAGGGGTGGATTCCAGCACGACAGGCGCGCTTTGTGGCGGAGGGATGATCGGAGGAGCTACTGCATCTTCTGGAGCTTGTATCTGGTTGATGAGAATAGCAAATTGCTAGTGAATTGTTGGTGGCCGTCAGCACTATCCGGACGACAGGTGGCAGGTCATGACACTTACGGATTCATAAGCAAACAAGACACAGGCGAGAAATGCCGGTGCTACGAGAGAGAGTGAAGGGCGTCCGTTTGCCAAGATGGCAAAAGTTATGTGACCGGCGAAGGACACTGCATCAACAATTGCCTGCGTGAGGAAGGTCCAGAGCGAGACACGGGATATTCCTGCGGGTGTGCGGCAACGCTCCATTTGACGGGAGAGGAGAATGAGCAGAGCGAGGTAAAAAAGCGCAGACAGACCGGCGTCTGTGATGGAGTGAAAGTTAATCTTTAACGTCGCAGAAGTCCTTATAACTTACAGGTGGTGACTTTACGAAAGAACGTCTGCGACCGCAAGCCCTCCGTGTTGTGTAAACGATACAAGATCCCGCATTCCTTGCTCAAGAGAACACCATTCAGGGACAGCTTCGGGAATTCGACTGTATGTTTGCCCGTTGGCCTTTGCAGTTCCTCTTCTAATTCTTGCATGAGCTCCTCCGAGATCATCGACGGCTCGATCTGGGCGTACAACTCGAAACCACAACCAGGTGATGCGCTGTCCTCTGCGATCTCATCAGAAAGCGAAACAGGCAAGGGCGTGGAGATGAAATGGCACCTTCAGCGGTTTCCTGGTCTATTATGCCTGCGTCTATCATAGCCTTGACCTTGTTTATTCGTGACACCAGCTCAGGTTCTATTGCGTGGGCTGTGGCATTCTGGAGGGCGTCCGGGACAATTGCGGGCAAATACCGAATATCTATATGGTGACTGTGTGCCTGGTTAAAACTCGCCAATGTCCTTCGGGCAGTAGGAAATTCACCCGCTTGGCTCAACGAAACCATAGATCGATCCATTTGCAAGAAACTGAACGCCCTCGAAGTCCAGCCTCATTTCCTGTGAGGTACGGGCGTCTGCAAGATCGATTCTTCCCTGCATGCAATCTTAGAGCCTGCATTCAAAGGGCACCAAGGAACGGCATACGTGAACCATCGCAATGTTCTTGAGGTCGGTTGGGGCTCGGACCAACACGCTCCAGGAGATTTTGTCCGAGGCTGTCCAATTCCAAGAACCCGTCTTGTCCGTAAGTTCCGTCATGTTCGTGTCGCTCATCAAGGACTGCGCATAATGTGTCCAGGGGGTGTGCTCCGACGCGAGACTTGGGGGGGTGATGTTATGGAAATCAACGTCACCTCGGACAAACCCAGTGATATTGGAAAAGTACGACTGAGAGGAACCCAGACGGGGGTCAAAGGTCATGAAGGATCTGACCAGTGAACTTGTGGCAGGGTGTCTGGCTGGCTTAGCGCAAAGTTAGAGCCTTAGGAAGCTGATAAATAGGAGCAAGTACCAGGGTGAAATTGGATTCTGTCCCGTTCATCCAAGCTGTGAAATTCGATAACTGGTTGTTCAAGGACTGCAACGCGTCCTGGTAATGGTTCCGTGCTAGGAATTCGTCCCCGTTGTGGTTCGTGAGCATGAAAAGCATGAATATAATGAATAAGAAGGAAGGTATTGAGCTCCGTTGCTGCTGCAGCCTAATGTCCGGAACCGTATTATTGGCTGCCTCCTCATCGCGTTCCATTTCGTCCTCGTGGAAAGCGACAGAGGCGTGAAGCGCTCACGACCGCGGTGGCGGGATCATTGCACCGCCACAGTTCCTCACCTAAACCCGATAGCAACTTCCATGTCCACAATCACTCCAGATAGCAAACGATGGACACATTTTCATTCAGCACTCCAGCTGGCAATTCAGCGCGCGGCACACAAATGGACGTAGGTACTAGTTATCGACGCTAGCTTAAACCGCTGAACTCGAAGCCAACACCGTGCAGTTACGATGACTTTAGGGAATGCTTTGCCCTGTGGTGCAAAGAAGAACCAGACGGTGCAATAGGCGTGTTTAACACGGTATCAAGGCACATGGAAGATCAGATATCTGTACGTCTCCTACTCAGTCGTTGCTTACGCGTGTCAGCTCATTCAGTCATAAAGAGCAACTGCGAAAACGCGTTTATTGAATCCAACGTCAAGGACGGGATAAATATACTGCACGCCGTCGTATCGGAAGCTCGGGCTCGGAAACAGCGCGGAGAGATTGGCGGTAAAGACATCTGGAGGGACGGGTTGAGTCCGCGAGCTGCAGTGCGAGCACAAACTGTACGCGTTATGCAGTCAGAAGTGGAAAAGCTGCGCGCCACTCTCAAAACTGTGTGTCCTTCTTGGTGGGTATTGTGCCCCTATGTGCTCACTCTTTTGGCAGCTAGAGGAGGAAAACGCGGGGCTTTGTGCACAGATACAGCATAATGTGCATGCACAAGAGGAGGGTGACGCAAAAACGGCAGAATTGCTAGACATCCTTGATGACGTGAGCTTTTCTCGTCCACGGGCCCCTTTTACACCTGGGCTCACGCCAGGCAGGTATACTCAAAGTGGAACAAGCTTCCTCACGACGATATAGGGTTATGGACATTACAAGCAGCGGAGTCCCTTGGTTCAACTCAACCGCCGTAACCAGCACATCGATTGCACAGCATCTATGGTACCACTAAAGCGAGGATACGTGGATAAAGTTCCATTACACGGGTTCATATTTGCATTTTGTGAAAATGACAAGGGGATGGTAATATCTGGAGAAATCATATATGGACAATGAACGTAAGTCTCGCTCGACTGTTAACTAGAGTTTGACGGGTTCGAGGTTACTGTGCTTGTCACAGTCTGTCACCTCCGGTCTCACTCCTTAATGGACCATTGCTGTCGACTCCTATGTCAAGCTAAAGTCCGCAAAACTGAAGGTCCAAGACACAAAAAGTTGTTTCGTAGCAGCAACTCGTTTCGATCGAGTGACCTCGGGGTTATGAGCCCCGCGCGCTCCCTAACTGCGCCATGCTGCTGTGGGAAAATATCGTTTAAAATGGCAATATACCTCCAAATTCGCAGCGACTCGGATATTACAAACAAACACAATGAAACTGCCGCCAATGGCTGAGCAGATGGCAGTGACAGTGACACGTCGAACATCACTGGTAAGCTCTATCTGGTGCCCAATAGTAATGCTGATCTGAATGAGTCAGAACACTGGGCATTGTGCGGGCATACTAGCACGTTGGAGCCGAGGAGGTATTTGAGTGCAAATGAAGATCCCTTTGGTTAACCCGTATACGCACGCTGATTCCTGAATATATACAGCCGTGTTCCTGTGTAATCATCATTTGGTGAGATATCATTACGGGCCAGCACTTCCCATTCGAGCCCCCATTCGGTTCCCTTCAGGTCAGTTAAACTGCGCTTCCCAGCTGAACTTTCTTGCTGGTTCGAGGCTGCGTGATATGCTATCCACAATTGTCGCTCTCAGGCTCTGCAGAAATGCACATTATCCCTTCCTTAATGTGAGTCGTTCGTGACAGTCAAAACCCAGTCGTCGCCTTCCTACCTTCTTCGTGGGTTTCTGCTGGCGCTCGTCGTAGATCACGCAGCTATTTTTGCACTGCTGCGCATCGTCCTTTGGCTTTTTCAACATGTAAGCAAGGGAATGCGCTGTCAAAATGCTTTCGTCACTCAGATCTGATCAATCCCTTAGACAAGTGCGGCCAGACAATATCCAACATCCAGTCGTCACGAATCACCATGATTCGGGACCAGCCAGGGGCGTAATGTAACCCCCTTGGGTTATTGCCCTTATATGACGAGGGTATGAAATCCTCACCGATAACTCGCCTTTCCGTCCTCCTCTCTTTGCTGCTCATTCTTACAATGCTTCCCGCTGTCACTTTGTTTTGGGTCTTATGGCTGCCCATTTTGGTCCGCGCGAGCGTCACTGTTTACAGCCAGATTCCGCTGGGAGATAGCACGGCGACGGCGGCAGGAGCAAACTATACAGGTGCAGCGGCATACGACCCAACTGTTTTGCAACCCCCGCCCGTGCCCTCGGGGCTCCCGACGCAGTTCTCGATCCAGTTGCAAGGTAGCACATCCGCTGTATCAGGGTTGAGTATACAGCAGAGAGGCTCGTTCTTAGGATACTCGATCGAGTTTAGTGTTATCGACCAAGTCCGTAAGTACTGCTACACCACATGTGGAGATGATTTTGATTGTCGTCGTCGTCGTCGCCGCTATCGAAGTCGGTATCAATTCGTAAGCTCTTTCTGCTATTCTTGTCCGGCAACATAAAGAATCTTTTCTCAGTTCCTTCCTGCAAGTACCTTTCTTAAATCTCATGGCCAACATTCGAGAACGGGCTGGCGAGGTTCACATTCGAGTCGGAGGAAACACACAAGAGACTGCCACACTCGTTGAGAATCTTCCGGGCGGTGTTATGATGGCCAAAGAAACCGGGGACACTGGTGATGTGGTACGTTCCGGTTTACGTCTGCGCTCATTTGGTTGATACGGAGATGCTATTTGGAAGACGCAAACACCAGCGTTGCTATACACAGCGGAAGTCCTGAACCTTTTAGGCAATATTTCGGCTCTCGTGGATGTTAAGTGGTTTCTCGGTAATTTTGTTCCTTATGCTGGGTGTTGAGGATATGCAAAATTAACTGGAACCGTTTGCCACTGGCAGGCATTCCTTTCAATGACACCAATAATCTTCGACTCGGTATTGCAGAAGTAGGCGAAGCCGTCCTGAGCGGCCCCGGGTACCTTCTTGGATTTCAAGTTGGGAACGAGGTTCGTACTATGATCAAGAATCGCCCAAATCATGGATCTAAAAACATCATGGTCCTTTCAGCCTGATCTATACGCTGCGTAGGTCTTACTCCTTTCCCTTGCTCGCCCCTGCTAAGACACGCGATGGGTGTCTAATTAGTCACGGTAACCGTCCCTCGACGTACTCTCCATACGACTACTTTGGCGAGTTTGGTGTGGTTGTCGAAGCTATAGCTAAGGACACGAGCATACCCGTACGCGACAACCTCGTCGCTCCCAGCGTATCGGGGACATGGTCCCCCGAAATGGTCTGGAACACGGGGTTCATATCTTCATACTCGTCGAGCCTCGGTTATCTTGCCGTAGAGCAGTGAGTCATCCGCTTTGCTAGATTACCAAGGGATAAGTCCCTCATAGACCTTAGCTATCCGAGCGACAATTGCTACGCAGAATATGGCACCGGCACGCCTGTCGATCCACAAACAGCATTCCCCAGTTACCTCAACCACAATGCCGGAATCGACATTATCGCCCCTTACCTCAATTCGACTGCCATCGCACAGCAAGTTGGAAAACCATTCATGATGCTCGAGACGAATACTGCCTCGTGTGGTGGTTTCCCGGGAATCAGTGATAGTTTCGGGGCCACGCTGTGGGCACTAGATTATGGGTTGCAAATGGCGTCCAGCAATTTCTCTGGCGCGATGCTCCACGTCGGAGGGCAGGATGTATATTACAACGTGAGTTGGGGCTGATTATGTCCTGCTCTATGCTGACGAAAGCCGAAATACCTTTTCGCACTATACACAGCCGTTCACGCGTGGGTTCCGCGTCTTTCATTCCCGATGAAGCTCACGTTATCGTTCAACAGCCCCACCAACTAACCAGTCATCGTATCATCAATGGACGATTGGCGCGATATACTACTCCACACTCGTTGTCGCCGAAGCATTTGGATCATCCGGGACCGCACAAATTATAGATCTCAACGTCAGTAGCGGTAATATTTACACTCCCGGTTATGCCATTTACGATAATGGTGGTCCTGCGAGGCTAGTGTTGATGAACTACGTGACGGACCCTTCAGGAGCGAGCGACATTACGGCGACGTTTTCGATTGGAGGGGGTGATACTGGACAAGCTAATGGGACGCCAGCACAAGTGCAAGTAAAGTAAGCTGGTTCTCATTCGAATTGACTGCCGATTCTAATCGCGTACCTGGCAGATACCTTCAAGCGCCTTCTGTTTCCGAGAAATACAATATTACATGGGCGGGCCAGGTAAGAGTTTCTCCCTGCGTACAACCCCTTCAACTCATTGCTGATGTGGACTTAGACGTTCGGTGCAAATTTTGAATCCGACGGCCGCCTGCAAGGCACCTTGAGCATCAACACGGTATCCTGCGACCAATCCACCAATACCTGCTCCGTTACTGTACCCGCTCCAGGGGCAGCCCTCGTCTTCCTCACCAGCGCCGCATTCTCCGCATCGAACCCTTCCTCGACAGAAACGTTTCCTACCACTGCGCTCACTAAAACCGACAACACTGCAACGATCAACCCTTCAGTACTTGCTACTTCGAACGGAATGTCAGGCTCGACATGGCAGCTGGGCAGTACGAGTCAGGAGTCGCGTGGATTGAAGATGAGAGACAGCGTCTCAGCTAGGGTTGCGATGGTCGTTGTTAGTGTTGTATCAATGATACTTTGGTGATAAATACGTTCAATGTATCTTCTCGGACACAATATGAGGTCCCATGAACTCCAACTGGCGGATCTATGGGCGATCTGCTCCCCTGAGTATCCAGGATTGCTGCTCCGACCCTCGTTTACGACAAGCAAAACTCAAAGTCTAATTCTCATTTCAAACATAAGAGTAAAAATGGCGATCCGGGGCTATACGTAGATACGAACGGGGGGACCATCTACGAGAATCTCCCAGAACAGTAAACTTGCAGCTTATTCCTGAGTACGGCCTTGGTGGATGTACTTCCTGGTGGATTAAGATGTAAGCGTTACCGGAGGATAGCAAAGTATACTGGGAATAGCCGGTCGCACTGGCGGTGCAAATCGAGCCGGTCGAGCCGTTCGAGCCGTCCCAGTAGTTCACTTCACTGGCAAAGAGTGTCAATGGGTCGTGTGTGAAATGGGACAGAGCTTCGGCACTTACGCATTCAAGTAATGTATGGCACCGGCCCCAACAATATCGTAACACCTTGAACATTGAACAGTCGTGGCTTCCCTGTCCACCAAAATCCGGCGATCAATACCCTGCACCACAAGTCTCGATAGCTGAATATCAGATCATCCGATAAACCATGGCTGTCCAGAGCAAATTATGCAAACCTAGGCCTAGCTCGCTGCATCGGCCTATCGTGGATATCATCTTTATCGCGGCCTTCGTCTAGTGTGGTCAAGCTCGCTTCATGGCATCGTTATTACCCAAGGTCGATATGACTAAATCAAAGGTCGCGGATATGTCACTATTGAATGGGCAACGGAGTGGACATAGGACCTGAGAAGCTTGTGCGAGACCAAAGCGTGAGATATTGCCGCCTAGGGGTTCAATTAAAATGGTAGCGCAATTGAAGAGACGTCATAAGCTTCGTGGCGATGGTGCAAATTGAAGCGAAGGTAAAATCCAACCGTAACAACATCTGCCACTGGGCCTTCTTCCTCGGTAGCGAGCGGTCCTAACACAGGGATTATTATCCGCGGATTGCGCCTGGATTAATGATATAGTGATACCAGTGCCCGCAGATGTAAAGTCAAGTCTAAAGGTCCAAGTCTCCGCGTAGTTTGTCATCTTCAACCTATGTCTTCATGAGAGCATGCTGCTCCCGTCATTACCGCATGCAAGAAGCAAACAGTTGGGTAATCGATATCCCCCGTCGGTCATCCTATTGTCTTTTCGTGGGCTCGCGAGTATTGTCGACAGGATCTTGCAGTGCAGACGTAGTGGCCTAGGTAGAAGGCAGCGATCCCTGAGACGACCTGTGAGATGCCCACATGGGCTGTGGGCTGGATGAGCACCCTGCTCCGACGACGTGTACCACTGGGTTGCTCGGTTGAATTTTTTCTGGACCTCGGGAGTGTTGGGATGGGTCTGAATACCGGCTGGTTGGCGGCGAGTTCAGCTGCAAAAAGTAGTGCTCTGATACCGTACGACCGACTACGATCCGTCAACGGTTTCGGTCGTCATCGACCTGGTTGCACCGGGATCAGCGACACCGAAGCGATTGTCT